GGTGTGTTCCACAGTTCTTACTTGGTGGTATGATGGTATGTTCCACAGTTCTTACATGGTGGTATGATGGTATGTTCCACAGTTCTTACATGGTGGTATGATGGTGTGTTCCACAGTTCTTACATGGTGGTATGATGGTGTGTTCGACAGTTCTTACATGGTGGTATGATGGTGTGTTGTTCCACAGTTCTTACATGGTGGTATGATGGTGTGTTTCCACAGTTCTTACATGGTGGTATGATGGTGTGTTCCACAGTTCTTACTTGGTGGTATGATGGTGTGTTCCACAGTTCTTACTTGGTGGTATGATGGTGTGTTCCACAGTTCTTACTTGGTGGTAAGATGGTGTGTGTTCCACAGTTCTTACTTGGTGGTATGATGGTATGTTCCACAGTTCTTACTTGGTGGTATGATGGTGTGTTCCACAGTTCTTACTTGGTGGTATGATGGTGTGTTCCACAGTTCTTACATGGTGGTATGATGGTGTGTTCCACAGTTCTTACATGGTGGTATGATGGTGTGTTCCACAGTTCTTACATGGTGGTATGATGGTATGTTCCACAGTTCTTACATGGTGGTATGATGGTGTGTTCCACAGTTCTTACTTGGTGGTATGATGGTGTGTTCCACAGTTCTTACATGGTGGTATGATGGTGTGTTCCACAGTTCTTACTTGGTGGTATGATGGTGTGTGTTCCACAGTTCTTACATGGTGGTATGATGGTGTGTTCCACAGTTCTTACATGGTGGTATGATGGTGTGTTCCACAGTTCTTACATGGTGGTATGATGGTGTGTTCCACAGTTCTTACATGGTGGTATGATGGTGTGTTCCACAGTTCTTACATGGTGGTATGATGGTGTGTTCCACAGTTCTTACTTGGTGGTATGATGGTGTGTTCCACAGTTCTTACATGGTGGTATGATGGTGTGTTCCACAGTTCTTACATGGTGGTATGATGGTGTGATCAACAGTTCTTACTTGGTGGTATGATGGTGTGTTCCACAGTTCTTACTTGGTGGTATGATGGTGTGTTCCACAGTTCTTACTTGGTGGTAAGATGGTGTGTTCCACAGTTCTTACTTGGTGGTATGATGGTATGTTCCACAGTTCTTACTTGGTGGTATGATGGTATGTTCCACAGTTCTTACATGGTGGTATGATGGTGTGTTCCACAGTTCTTACATGGTGGTATGATGGTGTGTTCCACAGTTCTTACATGGTGGTATGATGGTATGTTCCACAGTTCTTTACATGGTGGTATGATGGTGTGTTCCACAGTTCTTACTTGGTGGTATGATGGTGTGTTCCACAGTTCTTACATGGTGGTATGATGGTGTGTTCCACAGTTCTTACATGGTGGTATGATGGTGTGATCAACAGTTCTTACTTGGTGGTATGATGGTGTGTGTTCCACAGTTCTTACTTGGTGGTATGATGGTGTACAGTTCTTATGGTGTGGTTCCACAGTTCTTACTTGGTGGTAAGATGGTGTGTTCCACAGTTCTTACTTGGTGGTGTATGATGGTATGTTCCACAGTTCTTACTTGGTGGTATGATGGTATGTTCCACAGTTCTTACTTGGTGGTATGATGGTGTGTTCCACAGTTCTTACATGGTGGTATGATGGTGTGTTCCACAGTTCTTACATGGTGGTATGATGGTGTGTTCCACAGTTCTTACATGGTGGTATGATGGTATGTTCCACAGTTCTTACATGGTGGTATGATGGTGTGTTCCACAGTTCTTACATGGTGGTATGATGGTATGTTCCACAGTTCTTACATGGTGGTATGATGGTGTGTTCCACAGTTCTTACTTGGTGGTATGATGGTGTGTTCCACAGTTCTTACATGGTGGTATGATGGTGTGTTCCACAGTTCTTACATGGTGGTATGATGGTGTGTTCCACAGTTCTTACTTGGTGGTATGATGGTGTGTTCCACAGTTCTTACATGGTGGTATGATGGTGTGTTCCACAGTTCTTACATGGTGGTATGATGGTGTGATCAACAGTTCTTACTTGGTGGTATGATGGTGTGTTCCACAGTTCTTACTTGGTGGTATGATGGTGTGTTCCACAGTTCTTACTTGGTGGTAAGATGGTGTGTTCCACAGTTCTTACTTGGTGGTATGATGGTATGTTCCACAGTTCTTACTTGGTGGTATGATGGTATGTTCCACAGTTCTTACTTGGTGGTATGATGGTATGTTCCACAGTTCTTACATGGTGGTATGATGGTATGTTCCACAGTTCTTACTTGGTGGTATGCTGGTATGTTCCACAGTTCTTACATGGTGGTATGCTGGTGTGTTCCACAGTTCTTACATGGTGGTATGATGGTGTGTTCCACAGTTCTTACATGGTGGTATGATGGTGTGTTCCACAGTTCTTACATGGTGGTATGATGGTGTGTTCCACAGTTCTTACATGGTGGTATGATGGTGTGTTCCACAGTTCTTACTTGGTGGTATGATGGTATGTTCCACAGTTCTTACATGGTGGTATGATGGTGTGTTCCACAGTTCTTACTTGGTGGTATGATGGTGTGTTCCACAGCTCTTACTTGGTGGTATGATGGTATGTTCCACAGCTCGTACATGGTGGTATGATGGTATGTTCCACAGCTCTTACATGGTGGTATGATGGTATGTTCCACAGCTCTTACATGGTGGTATGATGGTATGTTCCACAGCTCTTACATGGTGGTATGGCTGAAGATGTCCTGGTAAGGCAGATGGCCACTCACTGTGTAAGTAGGTCAGTATTTCTTGAATCACTGATTCATTCTGAGATGAGGCCACCAGGACCTGTGGTGTTACTATGAAGACCGGTGTAACTGGATATCTTAAGTGGCTTCTCTTCTTGTTTTTTCATCTCCCTCTTTAGGATTGAGCACAGCACAGGACAATTAATCTGCTACTTGATTTAACTTTCCTGGCCTATAGTGAAAAGCTGACAGCAAGGAAGCTAGGGCTTGGTAATCAGTTAACATATTCAATTTTCTACAAAGTAATGCCACTGCCCACATGCCCAAATACAGGACAATGCCTTTCCTGAAGAATATTTTTGCTCAGATGGCGAAAGAGAATGGGAAGCAGAAGTGACAAGATGTTCCTCTTCCTGGTGAATTCTTGATAAAACTGCATCTGAAGCAACAGTGAAAAGCACCACAAGAGACGGACGGTGCATTTGGTGAAAAATGGGCAAGTGTTGGCGCAGATGCTGTATGGTGTTTCAAGGCACGTATAGCCTCGAAGCAGATTGGTATCCACTGTCATTCTCCATCCTTTTTGAGTAAGGGCTCATGTACACTGCAGCTGATAAATGCACGTTTAGGAGCTGTTCAGCTTTTTCAGCAGCCCCTGAACTCTCCCTAATGTTTTCCTATGTGTCCATGTACTCATCTTCGTTTACAGTCGTTTACAGGTATTTGAGTTTACAGTCATTTTTTTTGAACGCAGAAAACTTGCGTTCAGCAGTCAATTTTATCAGCTTTTCAAACACAAAACACTTCTAAACGTAGCAAATCGCGTTTATAAGCGTTTGCGTCTGAAATTTTTTTTCAACTCTTCCAGTTCCTGATGCTGTCCAGAACCTTTTTTCATCATGAAAAATGCATGAAAAGCATTTTCAGGGTACTTAGATAGATAAAACACTGAACACAGGATGTTCCTACCAAGCTTGTCACACATTGTAATGACCAATTCACACCTCAGACCTCTCCCACCCTTGGAAACAAAAGATATGTTAATGACCATTCACACCTCAAATTCCTCATGAAGACCCCCTGCTAGGTGACCTTAATGACTCCCTCCACCAGACACCTTTCCCACCCTTGGAAACAAAAGAAATGTTAATGAGCAACTCACACCTAAGCTAATCTCAACACATACTGCTGTCTCTGCTTCTACTCTCTGTATTTCTCTGAAACAGTCTGAAATAGTTAATAATTTACCACTTTTCAGTGCATTCTGGGCATTTGGGAGGTTCTCCTGTGCTTATCTTTAAAAAAATGCTTCTAAACACAAAACGCGCATAAACGCAGTATGCAAACACGGCTAAACAGACGTTTTTTTTAACCTAAGTTTTCCAGCAGTCAGTTTACATCGTTCAGAAGTGTCCCGTGTACATGGGGCCTAAGGCACTCAAACATGTTGTGATTTCAGCATAGTCACATACAAACCTTAAAGGACAAGTTCAGCTCTGGAAACATGTTACATGTGACACCCATTTTTAGGTGGTCTTCTCCCTGAATTCGCTGTCAAATTTAAAAAAAACCCACAGCCACTCGGCATGTCATTTATTCACAGAGTTCTGTGAATGGGAGAACTACAAGTACCGTCAGCCTTTGAACTACCAGGGTGCTGATGAGCATTGTTTCCCCTGCTCATTATGTACCTGTCTGACCTTACAAGGTACAAACAGCCAGCTTACACAGCCAGTCTGCAGGAGTCCTGCATTGCACCTGCAATCTGCTGATCATGGGTGCAATGCTTTGCAGGCTCCTAGTAACAAAATGAAATAAATAAATACACATTTTCTTACCTGCAAAAAGTTGTGCATTTTTTTTATTTTTTCTTTATAAAGGTGAACTTATCCTCTAACCACTAGCCTACAGGGCACTTATACCCCCTTCCTGCCCAGGCCAGTTTTCAGCTTTCAGCGCTGTTGCACTTTGAATGACAATTGCGCGGTCATACAACATTGTACCCATATGAAATTTTTATAATTTTTTTGAGACAGATAGAGCTTTCTTTTGGTGGTATTTAATCAACTCTGGGTTTTTAATTTTTTGCTAAACAAATCAAAAACCACTGAAAATTTTGGAAAAAAAAAAACTTTTTTTAGTTTTTGTTATAAAATTTTGTAAATAAGTGATTTTTCTCCTTCACTGATGTGCGCTAATGAGGATGCAGTGATGGGCACTGATAGGCTGTACTGATGGACACTGATAGGTGGCACTGCTGGGCACTGATGAGGAGGCACGGGTAGGTGGCACTGATGGGCATTGACAGGCATCACTAATGGGCACTGAAAGACATCACTCATATATGGCACTGATAGGTGGCACTGATAGGCGGCACTGACGGGCACTAATAGGCGGCACTGACGGGCACTGATAGGCGTCACTGATTGGCAGCACTGATAGGTGGCACTTATAGGCGGCACTGACGGGCACTGATAGGCGGCACTGACGGGCACTGATAGGCGGCACTGATTGGCAGCACTGATATATGGCACTGACTGGCAGCTCGACAGCTTGTGAGGAGAGAAATGCCGATAACCGGCATTTCCCTATTTACATGCGATCAGCTGTGATTGGACACAGCTGATCACATGATCGAGCTGACAACTTCGGCTCTTTCCATTGATAGGTGATCCACTGTGTCGGAGGGACACAGCGCACCACCCATCGCTGCGCTGTGCGCTCCCAAAGCCGCGCATGTGCGGTTAGAATGGGAGGACGTCATATGATGTCCTATCAGAATGAGAGAACCACCTTGCGCTCGTCATAACTTATATGGCGGGCAGGAGGCGGTTAAATAATTTGTAAATCCTATAAGTGAAGCAAGTTCTGTTTTTTCTTTTGGCTTAGGTAATTGGTGTATAGCAGGAGTCTCCAAACTTTTCAAACAAAGGGCCAGTATACTGTCCTTCAGACTTTAGGAGGGCCGGTGAGGATAGAAAATATCCTGGCCCCAGCATCAGTGAGAATAAACATGGCCTCAGGGTTGTTGGTCAATAGGAGGAGTAGTGCCCCACCATTGGTATTAGTGGGAAGACTAGTACAACATCTTTGGTTTCATGGGAAGAAGTACTGCTCCATTCTTGGTCTCAGTGGGAGGAAATGGTGCCCCAAGGGTCGGATAAAGGGTAGCAAAGGGCCACATCCAACCCACGGGCTGCAGTTTGGAGACCTCTGGTGTTTAGCATCAAAGCAGGATTATTTGGCCTCATGCACACAGGATGTTTTAAAAACGCTCCTCTTGGCAGCAGTATTTTGGCAGAAAAAAAGCCTGATGCTTGTCAAAATGCATAACGCTTTTACAAGTGTTTAGACGCGTTTCCAGGTGTCATTTGGGCTTAAATTCATTTAATTGGCCAGAATAATATTTTTTTCTGGCCATTGAAATGAATGAATGCTCAAGCACTGAACGCGCCTAGCGTTAACACGTGTTTAGACACTTTTACACGCATCAAGCATTTTTTCTGCTGAGCCCTCATGCACACGGGACCTTTTGTAAACACTGGTAATGTTAGCTGTATAAAGTCACGTTAAAAACGTGAGTTTTTCAGCTTTTTTTAGCGTTTTTGCATTAGCGACGTTTTCCCACGTTTTTCCACGCTTGCATTTTTAGCGTTTTTTTTTTACCAAAAAAAAAGTTTTTTTTGGTCAAACATTCCAAAACACCAGTTTGCAATGTTTTACCACGTTTTGTTGCATTTTTCAGCGTTGGAGCATTTTTACAGCTAAAAAACTCCTCTAGAAGCCCACTCGTTCTGGGTTTTTTTTACAGCCAAAAAACGCCCCTGACAAAAAACATTGATTACAGTCTGTGTGTGCATGGACACATAGGATAACATGGGGGGGGGGGGGCTTAGTGACTGTAGAAAAAAACGTCAAAAGCCAAAAACAGCCGCTGTAAAAAGGTCCCGTTTGCATGAGGGCTGAAACGTTGCTGCTCCTGGTTGCGCTGGCCCTGGGTTTTTACTCCAGCAAGTAAACACTACTGCTACTAAAAGCTTTTAAAAGTCAAGGTGTGCATGAACACAAGATAAAATGGCGGACCGTATTGAAGCAGTAAAAAAAAGTCTGATGCCCCTAAAAGTGGCTGCAAAAATGCCCTGTGTGCACGAGGCCTTAGAGTTGTCTACCCAGTGATGAGAGTCTATGGCCTACAAAGTCAACCTATGTTTGTGCAACAACTTTTTTTTTTTTTCGCCTAGGGTGAGGTTGTATTCTGGTAGTCCATGAAAAACGTAAGTGATTGAATTGTGTTCCTTCAGAGAGGGTGCATGAATAATATCATCCATATCATGATATTTATCCAAGTAAATTCTATACCAGGTATTCCTGTCACAGGAACCATTATTTTTTTGAAACTGCTCAGAGCCATGCGCAGCCCAAAAGGCATGTCTTTAACCACTTCCAGTCCGGACACTTTTACCCTCTTCCTGTCCCGGCCAATTTTCAGCTTTCAGTACTATCACACTTTGACAATTGCGCGGTCATGCAACACTGTACCCATATGAATTTTTAGCATTTCTTTGAGACAGATAACGCTTTATTTTGGTGGTATTTATTCACCACTGGGATTTTTATTTTGTTTGCTATGTAAATGAAAAAGTCCAAAAATTAAAAAAAAAGTGTTTTTCTTATAAAATTTTGCAAATAAATAGTATTTCATCATAAATCTTGACCAAAATGTATTCCGTTATCTTTTTAGTAAAAAAAAAAATAAATAACCCAAATTAGTTTATAATCAAAAATTATAATTTTTAAACATTTTTTTTTACATTTTTAAATTTTTTTTATATTATTATTTATGTTGTTTTTTTACATACTTGTCACCCTAGCAGTACAGTGTCACCATGGTGTACTACATGTGGGAGGTGATAAAGATTTTTTTTTTTTTTTTGCACTGATTGCTTTTACACCCATAAAGGCTGTAAAAGCAATCACTTCTCCTTCTCTCCAGCTGCATTCTCACTACTGAGTGAGCTGTGTGACATCTTGCTTACTACTCTGCATGTGATCACTGATTGGCCAATCAGTGATCACATGATCGGGACCTTGCACAGAGGTCCCCTCCGACGATCGGTGTTCCACTGTGTCCGGAGGACACAGCGGGCACCGGATCGCGGTGCTGCGCGCTCCCAGGGTGCGGGGAGGCAGTTTAAGAATGACCACCCGACCCAGCACTGCCACCGTCCGGCCCGTTTATATACAATGGCCGGACAGGAGGTGGTTAAAGCAATGCAAGTGGGATTTGTAAATATCCTTTATGGCGGCTAGGGGTGTCAATCACCGGGTCCTGGCCGGAGACTCCCCGTCGGCACCCGGCTATCACCGTGTGAAGCTGACAGGGGAGAGCCCAGTGTGGAATCAACACAGGTCTCTCTCCTGCCAGCAAGGACATGCTGCTTTGTATTTTTCTGCACAGCATGTCTCCATAGTAAAACAGCACACAGTTTGATTGCCCAAAAGTTAACCCCTTCCTGCCCAGTGTCATTAGTACAGTGTCAGTGCTTTTTATTAGCACTGATTACTGTATTAGTGTCACTGGGGATGTCAGTGACAGTCAGTTCCCCCCCCCAGTGTCAGAATGCCCACCGCAGTCCCACAATAAGTCACTGAGATCACCACCATCACTAGTATAAAAAAATAAAAATTCCAGTATATATACCGCCATTTGTAGACGCTATAACTTTCACATAAACCAATCAATTTACATGTATTAGAATAGACTAAAACAGAGTATAATAGAATAGAGTAAAACAGAATAGAATAGAATATAAAAGAATAGAATAAAATTGTCCAGTCTTCCTAGTGTTCCTCCTAATGTTTAAAAAAAAAACAAATAGGAAAAAAAAATAAAAAAAAATAATATAGAAAAGAAAAGAAAATAATAGAAAAGGATAGAATAGAAAAGAAAATAATAGAATTGAAAAGAATAGAGTAAAATAGAATACGACTGAATAAAATAGAAATAAATCGAATAAAAAATAAAGGAATAGACTAGAAAATATTAGAATAGAATGGAACAGAATAGAAAAAAATAGAATAGATTAGAATAGAATAAAATAGTAAGAATATAAACTGTCTTCCAAAATTCAAATTTTGATAAGAATATAATACAACAGATACGAATAGAAAAGAACAGAGTAAAATGGAACAAAATAGAATAGAATAGAAAATAATAGACTAGAATAGAAAAAAAACAATAGAAAAAAAATAGAAATAGATTATAGAATAAAAAAGAAAAAAAATATAATCATCTTTTGAACTTCGAATTTCAAATAGAATAGAACCAGCTAGAATTCAGATCGATTTGACATTTTCGATACAAGTTAGATTCAAAATGCTTAGAATCCACTAGAAAAATTACAACCTAGTTGAAAGCAAAAAAAACGAAACAATACAAATTTCCTTACAAAAGGAACAAAACTAAATTAGTAACTTGTTTAACTGATTCGGCACGAAATCACACAACTTTTTTCTGTCTACACATGTCTGGTTAAAATCACACTCACCATCGTGCCACTGTGCGGGCGGATCAGTCTTAGCTTAGGGCTCAGAGTCGGCAAAATGTCCACCAATCCCTGCTTTGTGGATGCTGGACAAAGCAAGTCAGCAATGGCGGCTTTTACATTTCTATTCTGATGGACATGCTGTCCATTATCACTGTGCAGAAGGGTCGGTTACAGTGAGGATAAATATCATTTAGGAATAAAACATGGAAACAACACGGATTGCAGAGATTATACCAAATGCGTTATTTACATCTAATGTAGTATAAAGTGGCCGTGATCCTATGCCGTTGATCTGCCCGAGATGTGCTTGGTTCTAATTCAGCATTATCTGTGTAGTTTAGATATGCATCAGTGAAAGCCTGATTACAGAGGCATGAAACCTCTCAAAGACCGAATATTTATCATTCAAAAGTCACATAGCTACATAGTTAGTCTGGCTGAAAAATGGCAAAAGTCCATCCAGTTTCAACCATTAAAAAAAAAAAAAAAGTTACAATCCTATACCCACAGTTGATCCAGAGGAAGGCAAAAAAAACAGCAAAGCATGATCCAATTTGCTCCTTTAGGGGAAAAAAAAATTCCTTCCTGATCCCCCGAGAGGCAATCCGATATTCTCTGGATCAACTTTACCTATAAATGTTTATATCCAGTTATATTCTGTGTATCCAAGAAAGAATCCAGGACTTTTTTAAAGCAATCCACTGAGCTGGCCAGAACCAACTCTTGAGGGAGTCTATTCCACATTTTCACAGCTCTTACTGTAAATAAACCTTTCCGTGTTTGGAGATTATATTTCTTTTCCTCCTAGACGTAAAAAGGCGCCCCCTGGTCCTCTGTGATGACTCAGGGTGCATAACTCTACACCAAGTTCACTAATATGAACCACTGATTGTATTTAAGAATGGAGATCATTATCCCCCCCTTTAGTGTATTATTACATGTGAGGATCATATCCCCCCTTATGTATACCATGGATAATATTATGTATTTTACATGGTGATCATATCCCCCTTATGTATTATACATGGAGATGTATTATACATGGTGATCATATCCCCCTGTCTGGTTTGTATTGTAGTTATTTATGTAAATACATGGAGATCATATCCCCACCTTATGTTATTATAAATGTGATTGTGTATTCCCCCCTTATG